AAAAAAAAAAAAAAAAAAAAAGATCTGGTCTCCACCAGAGAGAAATCATAAAATCAATACTATAGCTATTAAGGTACAAGGTTAGGGCCAGGTTTTCTTCTGACAATATTAGATAATCACAGATGACACACAAAGGACCCATTCAGCCTAATCAGAAATGGAAATAGGACGTCGTCAGGGCTGTGAATGACCAGATTAATTAGCCTTTGGTACAAATGCATGAGAGGAGATCTCCACTGTGGCTTGGCGCATTATCAAGTTAGGACGCCCCGCGGCGCTTCAGACATCAAAGTGCCAACATACAATATATCTTAATTACTATCAGGTTTCTCTGTGGTATGAACACTAAGAACAGATCTCAATACAGCCCAAGGATCCAGCTGCTATGAGAATGTTACACAGCGTAACTGAGCTCATATTAATTAGTATGATACTTTAAAAGTACAAATCCTGCAGGCACAAAGCTGCTTTACTAGGAATTGTCAAGGCATCTTGTTTCAAATGAAGTCAGCCAGAAAGCTTAGGCTTCGTTCACATGCAATGTCTATTTTCTAATTTCTATTTTCTATTTGCGCTATCTTATGATCACGGTGTGTGGCCTGAATATCCCGCGGCGTAATTACTGGCAGCGCGAGCCAGTTACTTATAGTAACTTATAGTAACTGGCTCGCGCTGCCAGTAATTACGCCGCGGGATATTCAGGCCACAGACCGTGATCATAAGACATACCGCAAATAGAAAATAGAATTTAGAAAATAGACATTGCATGTGAACGAAGCCTTAGTTTTTTTTGTGTTCATTATGGGAAAGTCACACTGTTGTGTATAGGACAGTGAACTATCAATTAGATTATCTCTAATCCTCTCAAGCACACAAACACAAACACACACACACACGTATGTGCACAAATGCAGATAAAATACACATGGCCCTTAATGCACATACAACTCTGCTATGAATAATTTTTGATTGGTTTCTGATAGGCTACCTATACATGTTATTATTAAAGCATATTAGACTCAAACCACACCACCACACAGATATCATACAGACCAGCAATGCTTTCAAAGATCGGAATAATCAATACCTAGGAAAGATACGTATTCCATAATTATCCAGCGCAAATAAAACTTGTGTGAGCTGATAAGTAATTCATTCGTGAGAACGTGACTTTGATAAGCTCCATTTAGGTTATTTCACCACTGGTTTGACCAATTATTAATAAAGATAATTTTGAAACCTAGTACAAATAAAATTTCAAGAAATTAATAACCGCATGATTGTAACTTGAGTATTCAGTGCACTACACAAACCTTCCTCTCGCCAAACAATTTTCAATCATATTTTTATAAATCATCATACATTCTGATTTTCATACATAGTCAATTATTCATATTTAAATTGAAATTAGCAAACGTTTTTCACATTCACATCAAATTCCTTTTTTTTTCAGGTGGATGTATGAATATACTGTAACATGATGTTCTACCTTTTGTAAAAAATTCAGCTCTGCTTGGCATTTTTTCTTGAGCTTTGGTGCGCCATGAACAGACAGTTTGCTGCACCGGTCTATGAGACTTTCTGCCAGAGTCACAAGACTCTCCAACTCTGCCATATCTGAAACAGTGAAATCACAATTGTGTTAGGTGTGACAATGGTAGCAATGATAGTGTATAAGATGTGACACTCCTAGCAACACATTTGCAACAAAATATTCATGATGTACTTGACCACAATTTACCGACAACTTCTTGTTACTAAACATGTTTGAAATATCAGTTTACACTATACACTTTAGACAAAAAGTAAGTTAATTGAAGTTAATGTGTCACTGATAACCATAACCACCAATCAGTGCTTATCTTTATAACTAAGGGTGTATTCACAGAGATTTAGATCCATCCAGGGATTAAGATTTAGATCGACCTATCTCCCTGGGGGTTCAAGTAAGTTGCAGTCAGCCAAGCGCACGATAGTTAATTACCCCCAGCTTTCAGTAGGCGGGACAGACGCTTAAGCCAGCTAAGCTAACAGTAATCAAGTGAGACTCCCCACAGGGATAGATTGATCTAAAATCTATGGAAATGGAGTCTTACACTATAGCACTAATAAAGGTCTGAAAGTAAAAACAGCTTCAATATGGCTCAGGTAGAAATTTAGTGAGAATAGAGGGTCAAGATCTAGTGAATACACTTTACAAGATACATTGTATCAATATATTTTTTTCATAATGTACGTAATTGTGGACCCCAATTCTTCACTTTGCCTAATCTTCTTCTTGGTTGTCTGTCACAAGGTAGTTTCAGCATCTTCCACACCGTCCATTCCAATCTTCAACCCTTCCTTTGATCTCACCATAACTCTCTGTTCTGTTGTTTTCTTTCTTCTCATGCCAATTACCGTCAAACACTGTCATCCTTTTTCGTCTTTTCTTACTCTGCCTCTTTTACCATTTAACCTGCCTTCAATGACCCCCCCCCCCCAAGCAGTCCATGATACCTCATGAAGTGACCAATCCATTTAATTTCTGCAGATTACAAATAATCTCTATCAATGATCTCTTTTTGTTTATCCTTAGCACGAAAATTCATGCGTTAGCACTCCTATTGATGATTCTGATATGTACTGTCTGTGCTTACACTAAGACCCCATTCCCAGAGATGAGATCGATCTAGTTTAGATCGACATAACTCCCTGGGGGTTCATGCTAAATAGCTGTCAGGCGAGGGGGCACGAAAGTTAATTACCCCCTTACAGCTTGTAGTAGGCGGGACGGACATTTAAGCTGGATTATCTGACAGTAATCTAGTGAGACTCCCCATGGGGATAGATCAATCTAAAAGCTCTGGGAATACACCCTAACACGGAGACAGTACATATCAGAATCGTCAATGGGAGTGCTAAAGCACCCCGCACACAGTAAGCAATTGGCACGCGCCACTTGCGCTGAGCCAGATGCTCGCGCTCCTCAGCTCCCCGCAAACGCTGCGCTCTTTGCTCAGCAGAGGTGCCACCCAGCCTGCCCCTAGCGGACACACTGTGAACTGTGGGATCATATGTTTAAGGAAACATTACATATTGTTGTTTTTTCTGATAGTAATGGAAAATGGTGACCACGTTAATCAATCAGACTAACTATAACTGTGTACATTTTTGTTGACTTCGCTGGGGGCTGCCATTTTTGTTTGTTTCCAGCTACCAGCACATGCGCATTGTTGGCATGACTTGAGCAATCGGCGCTTGCACCCCGCACACGCTGAGACATATGCCTCAAGAGACCAAAAATATCAAACACATGAGATATTTTGCTCAGCCACGCGAGAGGCAAAAATCTCACCAAAATACCCCCGCAAACAATGAGAAAACGGCGCAGCGAAAGTGGCGCACGCCAAATGCTCACCTTGTGCGGGCCCCTTAACGCATGAATTTTCGTGCTAGTTTATCCTAAGCATTTTTGTCTAATACACATGCATATAACTCTTCTTGGGAAAGTCCAAGAGCCCAAATTAAATTTGCTTGTTCATGCCCAGCTCTTTGTATATTATATGACAAAGTTCGAGTGGCAATATTTGGGGACTAAAAATCAAGTGGACAACTTTTGGCTAGTTCTAGAAAATGGTTCTGCAAACCCATGCAGTCATGGTGTAACTATAACTCGAGTAACTTTTGGACTACTTTGCATGATACAGCTCAAAGTTTCAAACGGTTGGTTTATACACAGATATGTAGCTATCTACAGTAAATTTCAAGACTCTGACTTCATCAGTAAAAATCGTTTGTGGCCCAGTGCATGACTGTGTACCATAAATTGCACTGGTGCGATGCAAATGGTCACTAATTTGACTAAATGTGCCCTTTGACTAAATGTACCATAAGTTGCACTGGATAGCGTGGGTCTTTGTTTTAGCTTTGCACTATTAGTGTTGCATTAGGACGACGTAACACCGTTTACCTTCTTAAGCTATGAACTTGACTTATCATATCATTTCATGAGTCACAATCAGCTGAACGAGTTACATGCACCCGTGCAACATTCCTGTGGAAACATATGCTTTCTACATCCGGTAACGTATGAAAATAGGACCGGATTTGATCAAATTTTGTATTCATTCTGTATACAAAAAATAAACAAAATACCACAAAGTCCAAAATATTTAAATAAATATACAAAATATAATGTTAATAATTAATTTTCAATCAATCAGTTTTGTATATCTCAGCATAACATATTTTTTCATTCCAGACAACAATCATTAACACAGAGAAAGTGGGTCATGTGACGTAAACAAAGACACGTTGAAGTGACGGATGTTCAGTGAAAAGCTGTAGATTTCAGACGTCAAACAATCGTTGTCTCTCAGGTTTCCTCTTACAAGTCAACAGTCCAGGTAAGTAGGTGTCAGAGTATGTGACTAACGGATGTACATCGTCTTTGGGCATGAATCTATTTATATTTTCATATTTTCAGCCATTTTATCAACACAAAAAGTCCAATCGATAGTGTTGTTTTTTCAGTGATTTTGTCTTGGCAGTCATCCAAAACAATGGTCCCTTGTTGAAATTTGCTATGAAAATAATTTGAAAGCAATTACTTAAAAATGTCACATTTACATGCGCCGTGTCAGTTAGAAAAATACTGATTTCTGTCATTATATGGTTGTAAATCGTTCTGCATGTTAACTGTTTTTATGAAATTTAGTTGTATTTATTTTGAAAATAATTCTGTTAGAGTTAAAGTACATGTATCAGTGGTATTGATAGTCCAGTCATCCTGTCAGTTTATTCTGATGGTTATCAGTCATGTAGACCTTTGTGATATAAGTAAATTACACATATTTCTGTTTCATTTATTTTATTTTCATTTATTTGATTTGATTGTTTTTTTGTTTTTGTTTTTTTTTTCATTCACAAAATTAATACAGTATGAAAATCTTGGTCAGAACTGACATTTATGATACTGGCATTTTGTTTAGTTGCTAATTATGTTAAGATATTTAACATTGTATAGCTGCCTCATACATGAATCAACAGGTTCATATTCATTCTATGGGTAACATATGGCCCAAATGCATACAGAAATTTCATTATTAGGATGGGAGTGATATGCCACCGACTATTTATTATCTTAATGTCTTAATTAAACTGCCCCACACCTATGTCATTTGATTTTATCAGGATAATTATTTCAAATTGAAAGCATGCTCCTTCAGTGTTATAAATGTTAAATGATAGTATAGTCCTCAGTTTACACATAATCTGCCCATTAATCTTTATCTCAGTTTTGCTATGATAATGAACCAGCACTATCTGCATGTAGACAACCCACATTGACAGCAAGTGTTTTATCATTTTACCAAGTGTTACAAGTGCCTCCATTGTTTACTTGTCTAATTTTCTTTCAGTTATTATTATAATGTAATGTTTTTTTCTCCTGTATCACATTGAAAAATTAACAAGGTAGAAAATAACATTAGAGCCATTATTGATATTTTAATGAGTTGCAAAAGTGCCTCCATTGTTTTATGATTTTATGAATTTTATGAAAATTTAAACAAGATAAAGAAATAATATTCCAGATATTTATTATCTTTACTTAAAGTACTTTTTATCTTATTTTGCAGAAATAAAGATAGAAAGTACGTGTTATCAGGTACATTGGACCTTTAAGAGCCTATTATGTTCTTTATCACTATAAAAACACCTGTGATTTGAGAACTGTCTCATTTCAGGACATAAAGAGAAGCTTCAGATACCTCATTGTGGTAGTTGTGCCAGTTGGTTGTGACAGTCAACACAATGCATGAGTTTCAGAGGGGAAGTTCAGATGTTGACTGGTGTGAGGCCAACTATGACATAACCTCCTTCATAGCAGAGTTCTTCAACACAATCAGCAATGCTCTCTTCATTGTGGGTCCTCCATTGTTGATATATCTCTTCAGACATTATGCTAGACTGGTGAGTGTGTTTGGTGTGTCAGTGTTATAGGTAATGCGTTAGATGTGACAGTGGCATGCAATTGTTTAAATTGTATAAAAAATTTGCATGTGGCCCTCAGTTTGCTTAGTTAATATTTGGATATTGTGTTAGGTATGACAGGGCAAGCTAACTGGATGAGTGAGATGTGACAGCGGGATCAACTTTATCTTTCAGAGATGGATGATGTCACTGTAGTTGTTGTGATGCTGAATGTTTACTGCTCAAATAGTTCACTGGATGCTAACATCAGATTGCTGAAGCTTGTCACCTGTAAACAAACTGTGTCACAATCATTGTCACAAACCTGTCATACAATCAGAGGGCATAACGATAACTGATACTTTGTCCACATTTGTTTTTTCAGGTGACATGGGAAGTGAACATAGTGTGGGGCTTGTTAGTGATAGTCGGCCTAGGCTCTGCGTACTTCCACGCCACTCTCAGCCTTGTGGGACAACTCCTAGATGAGATCGCCATTTTGTGGGTCTTGATGGCGGCCTTAGGGATGTGGTTTCCCAAACGCCTCTTGCCTCTGGTGTTCCAACACAGCCGTAGGAATTTCAAAGTCGCTCTCATGTGTTTTACTGCTCTAAGCTCAGGGTTAGCCTGTGTCATGCCAGAAGTAAATGCCTTTGTTCTCATGTTATTTGGCATCCCAGCTACTATGCTATTATGCACGGAGCTATGGAGGACCCAGTGTCGCAGGGTCCGCAGCCTTGGCATCCGCTGTGGCGTCCTCTGGCTCCTCGCAGTCACATGCTGGATCAACGATCGCGTGTTCTGCGATGTGTGGTCCTCCCTGCATTTCCCATATCTCCATTGCGCATGGCATATCCTTATCTTCATTGCATCGTACACCGCTTGTGTGCTGTTTGCGTATTTCGATGTCGTTGAAGAAATCCCAGAACAGATGCCTGTACTTAAGTACTGGCCTAAAAATCACTGGGATTTCTGGGGAGTGCCCTACATCACCCTGCTAAAACCAGTCACCAAGATCAAGCACAGTTCTATATAGGTGTATTACTTTAATATCTAAATTATGATAATATTTAAGAGACTGTCCTATTTATGAAACTGCAGATATGCATGCAGAATACTCTTATATCTGAACTAAGATATTTATAGAGTCTATTTCTAAAGATACAGAAATGTATGCAGAGGAAAAAACTAGTCAAATATCATTAGGGAAGTTCAGTATTTCTACAACATTTACGCACTTCTTTCTATATTTCTCTACGTTCATGAAATCAAAACTGTTGCAAGCATGAGACTGATATATGGTTCTCAATATTTCTGCATAATTTGAAAAGTCCAGAAGCTGTTGCTCAAGTTGGAGTCTTAATACTTTCTACAGTGTGTGTGTGTGTGTGTGAGGGAGAGAGAGAGATTGTATAGTTGGGTAATTTTCACGCAAGATTAAGGCATAAGAAATACTGTTTAGAGCTGAGTGAACAAAGTGGTTAATTTGCAATGAGTGGAATTATAAGTATGCTATATATTGTTTGCCATATTTACCAACTGCTCAATTGTTTTGGGAGTTCATTGTGGATTTGTTTTGCCAAATGTCTTCTTTAGTGTTTTGTTACATAGTTTACTGGTGGAAGAAAAGATTTAAAACATTGTACTGGCAAAAACAGGAAACAGCTGCATGTGTATTAACTATATGAACATATAATAAGGAGATTGAAGACACTAAAAACAGCCATTTACAGAAGGTAATATATTTAAAGAAGTTATCATATATAAAAAACTAAAGTCATTCATGCAAGCATGCAATTTTCACTAAGTTTTCAAAAGAAACATCATAGTACATGACTAAAACAAAAAGTAACTACTGGTTTTGAGAAGGTGGAGAGAAAAAGTAGTAAGATATGGGGATTGAGACTAAGGTGTGATGGAAAAAAATTCTACAAATCCTGGATTTTAAAGAATCTCCAGTTTTTCACCAATATCTCAAGCCGTCTTTTTTTCTGTGAACTTCATGCACAAAAAGAATTTTCATTCACTTGTATTCAGTTTTGTGTCATTGTATATTATATCAGCAACTTATTGTGAAACATTGAATTATTTTCTCTTGTGATATTTTGTTCTATATTTTAAGAGAATTAATGTTAGCATTCTTTTTCATTATACGCAGTAACCATTTAACTATTTGGACTATTGATCTTTTTACCTATATGCTAGTGCCTAGATATATAATCCTGTGCTTATATTATCCCCTTTAAATTATTATAAGTATTATAGTCCAAAGGTTGTTGACAGGTTTACGCTCATCGTTCATTATTTATTTGTATTTAATATTAATCTATATACTATATAATCTATATACATGAAGTAAGCATAATATGTTTGAGTTTCCACTAAATTTTTCTCATATTATCTACAGCATTTTCAGGGAAAATGAGTAGTTACCAAGTCTAGAAATTATTTATAATATTTGTCAGTGACAAGCTGAAACCNCGATAACTGATACTTTGTCCACATTTGTTTTTTCAGGTGACATGGGAAGTGAACATAGTGTGGGGCTTGTTAGTGATAGTCGGCCTAGGCTCTGCGTACTTCCACGCCACTCTCAGCCTTGTGGGACAACTCCTAGATGAGATCGCCATTTTGTGGGTCTTGATGGCGGCCTTAGGGATGTGGTTTCCCAAACGCCTCTTGCCTCTGGTGTTCCAACACAGCCGTAGGAATTTCAAAGTCGCTCTCATGTGTTTTACTGCTCTAAGCTCAGGGTTAGCCTGTGTCATGCCAGAAGTAAATGCCTTTGTTCTCATGTTATTTGGCATCCCAGCTACTATGCTATTATGCACGGAGCTATGGAGGACCCAGTGTCGCAGGGTCCGCAGCCTTGGCATCCGCTGTGGCGTCCTCTGGCTCCTCGCAGTCACATGCTGGATCAACGATCGCATGTTCTGCGATGTGTGGTCCTCCCTGCATTTCCCATATCTCCATTGCGCATGGCATATCCTTATCTTCATTGCATCGTACACCGCTTGTGTGCTGTTTGCGTATTTCGATGTCGTTGAAGAAATCCCAGAACAGATGCCTGTACTTAAGTACTGGCCTAAAAATCACTGGGATTTCTGGGGAGTGCCCTACATCACCCTGCTAAAACCAGTCACCAAGATCAAGCACAGTTCTATATAGGTGTATTACTTTAATATCTAAATTATGATAATATTTAAGAGACTGTCCTATTTATGAAACTGCAGATATGCATGCAGAATACTCTTATATCTGAACTAAGATATTTATAGAGTCTATTTCTAAAGATACAGAAATGTATGCAGAGGAAAAAACTAGTCAAATATCATTAGGGAAGTTCAGTATTTCTACAACATTTACGCACTTCTTTCTATATTTCTCTACGTTCATGAAATCAAAACTGTTGCAAGCATGAGACTGATATATGGTTCTCAATATTTCTGCATAATTTGAAAAGTCCAGAAGCTGTTGCTCAAGTTGGAGTCTTAATACTTTCTACAGTGTGTGTGTGTGTGTGTGAGGGAGAGAGAGAGATTGTATAGTTGGGTAATTTTCACGCAAGATTAAGGCATAAGAAATACTGTTTAGAGCTGAGTGAACAAAGTGGTTAATTTGCAATGAGTGGAATTATAAGTATGCTATATATTGTTTGCCATATTTACCAACTGCTCAATTGTTTTGGGAGTTCATTGTGGATTTGTTTTGCCAAATGTCTTCTTTAGTGTTTTGTTACATAGTTTACTGGTGGAAGAAAAGATTTAAAACATTGTACTGGCAAAAACAGGAAACAGCTGCATGTGTATTAACTATATGAACATATAATAAGGAGATTGAAGACACTAAAAACAGCCATTTACAGAAGGTAATATATTTAAAGAAGTTATCATATATAAAAAACTAAAGTCATTCATGCAAGCATGCAATTTTCACTAAGTTTTCAAAAGAAACATCATAGTACATGACTAAAACAAAAAGTAACTACTGGTTTTGAGAAGGTGGAGAGAAAAAGTAGTAAGATATGGGGATTGAGACTAAGGTGTGATGGAAAAAAATTCTACAAATCCTGGATTTTAAAGAATCTCCAGTTTTTCACCAATATCTCAAGCCGTCTTTTTTTCTGTGAACTTCATGCACAAAAAGAATTTTCATTCACTTGTATTCAGTTTTGTGTCATTGTATATTATATCAGCAACTTATTGTGAAACATTGAATTATTTTCTCTTGTGATATTTTGTTCTATATTTTAAGAGAATTAATGTTAGCATTCTTTTTCATTATACGCAGTAACCATTTAACTATTTGGACTATTGATCTTTTTACCTATATGCTAGTGCCTAGATATATAATCCTGTGCTTATATTATCCCCTTTAAATTATTATAAGTATTATAGTCCAAAGGTTGTTGACAGGTTTACGCTCATCGTTCATTATTTATTTGTATTTAATATTAATCTATATACTATATAATCTATATACATGAAGTAAGCATAATATGTTTGAGTTTCCACTAAATTTTTCTCATATTATCTACAGCATTTTCAGGGAAAATGAGTAGTTACCAAGTCTAGAAATTATTTATAATATTTGTCAGTGACAAGCTGAAACCATAAAATCAACTGAAATTTGTCACTATTTAAGGAACAAAGTTCTGCTGGAATATTTATGAAATAATTTATTCTAACAATAAATATTATTCTTTAATTGCTAAAATCACTTGTCAGTTTTGTGTTATTTCTTTCCTGACTGAAAAAAAAAACTGCACTGAGATCTGTCTGTCAATAGTAATCAATTTGAAACACCAACAGGAAAATTCTCCAAAGGGTGTGACTCTATTAACTACAATTTAAAGAAATATTGGGGGAAATTGTGCCAAGGTTCAAATATTAAAGACTTGCCAAAAACTGAAAGATACGCAGTAAATATTAATAATACATCTTGTCAACTCCAGTACTTTGCTTTAAACAGAATCTATCACTTCCACTTGCTACATGTTATGAAATCAACATTTATTTCAAATACTCTATTAAAGATTTTCTAATTTTTGATTGCAATTTGAAATAAATTTATTAAAGAGAAAAGAATTTTTAATTTAGCAAGTAATTACCAACAATCAGTTTTAAAACAGCATTCCCATCACAATATTTCACTGAACTCTGAAAAATCTTCCCATCACAAGGTTATATCCCAATTATCACATATCACAGTTATCACAATATTCCACTGAACTCTCCCAGTATCTTCTCATTACAAGGCTATATCCAAATTATCACATATCACAGTTATCACAATATTCCACTAAACTCTGCCAGTACCTTCCCATCACAGGGGTCTATCCCTGTCATCACGTATGTATCAGTCTGTAGAAGCAAACACACAGTTCTTAATGCTGTCCTCCATGCTTCTACTTTGCTTTGACAGTCATCCAATACTGGTAATTTCAATGTGACATCACTGTTATTTGTGACATCACTTTTTCCTGTGACATCACTGTGTGTGGTTGTGACATCACTGATTGTTGTGATATCCCTGTCAGAGGCTGTGACATCACTGTTTTCTGTGATATCACTGTTTTTGGTTTTGTCTTCAATATCTGATGCTGTGACATAACACTGTGAACCAATAGTTTGCCTGAACTTAGAAAATGATGCATCACTTTCTGTGATATCACCAGCTGTAGGATCACACAGAGTTGGAAAACTGTTCCTTGAAACGATGTCCTTAAACCTGAGAAAGGATTTGGCCAAGGATTGATACACTGCAGGGATGTATACATCATCACCTGAATATTCCTGTTCATTTGATCTTTCCTTATCTGTGAAGATAGAAAAATAATTATAATAATAAGCAACAATCAAGAGGATCAAATTAAAATAGTTTATACCCTGTTAATCTCATCCACTCACCTGCTAGCTGTGTGAGGTGCTGCATACACCAAGCCTCTGTCTCCCCTCCTCCTGGTAACACTAACCCACTCTGTACAACAGAGGCCAGCCTGCGGAGACAGTGCCAGAACTGTTCCTCAGCCAGGTGGACCACAGAGCCTGCTGGGTGACACAGTATGGCAGTCTGCAATGTGGAGATGAATGGGTCATGGTAAGAGAGGAAGTTATGAGAGAGTTAACTAAGAATAGTATAGTATTAGAACCTTCTCAATGTGCTGGGTGTGAACATTTAAAGCATATTACATAAAATATCAATAGTTGTGGTAGATGAGTCAATTTAAATGAAACCATCTTTTAAAATTTTGCTTCAAAAACAAATCTAATCTCAAAAGAAAATTATTATAGAAATGCCTAACTAGGTATATACAGGTAGACAAGTCTAGATGTGACAAAATTTAAAATTGCCTAAAACTAAATATAAAAATATTACCTGGCTGAGTCCACTGTGTTTGACCACCACATGCTGTTCAACCAGACCAGTGGTCACTCTGTATAACCAGTCTTCTGACCATGGAGCAACTGTGACACCATGTACCACATGATCCTAGAAATGATATCATCATTACACAAACTGATGATGACTTTTAACACAATGTGAATTCTTAGAAAAAAACATATTACACTATTATTACAGCGGACATAATTAACTGCCATGTTAACATCTATGCCATTGGAAACAAATACGCCATCTGACAAATCTAGGACCTCACTACAGTGTGTGGAACTTAAGGAGAAAGAAATGTTCCATGTGTGCACCCCCCTCCCCCCCCCCCCCCCAACTCCCAACTCCAATCTACCTATGGCACATAAATACATATTCAACATTTAAAAGGTGTAAAATTAACAATTTTAATTCTGTTTTTAAAAATATGCAGGGGAATGATCTATCCAATAGCAGTATATATGCTCTATTTCAAGTGGGGAAACTAAAAAATTGTGACTATATTAACACACAAATAAACTGAACTTTTTAATGAATGATTACAACATATCAGATAATTTATTTAAATAAAATCTCACCTGTGTTCCCAGCAGCAGATGGGTCAGTTGGTCCACCTCAGCACTGGACATGATGGCCGCAAGCACCCTATATGGGACATGACTCAGGACTATGATGTCATGTGTGCCACACCAGTTCTGTACGGACTCAGATACAGCTCCCTGGACCAGTAACAGCTGAATACCAAGCTGGAAATGTAAACATTCATATAAAAAATGTGGTAACTTTAGAGTATTGGCTTATAATTGGTAGAAAACAGTCATACACACACATAAGGTTTTAAACACCAAGTGCATTTCCAAAAATGTGGTAACGTAGTACTTTAGGGTATAGACTTATAGTTGGTAGAAAGTAAGCAGCATAAATTTTTAAATATAACAAAGTTTGATAGACACCTTTTACAAAATTATCTCAAACACACTATCACAAAAAATGATAAATTATATGATATTGAGAAAATTAGCACATCTCACACTACCACTACAGACTAAAGAAGGCGAAAGTAATTAAGCAACTGACTAAGTTTTTTTTTCCATTGACAGATCTTCAATTTTTTGTTTAGAACAAACCTGAGTAAGTAAATCCTTAACTTCTCTCAGCCAGTTATCATCTTTCTCCCCTGATGTCATATATTCCTGTGTAGACAGTACAGACTTTGCTATCACAGACTCCTTGAAGCCACGCTGTCTGTAGGAGGGTGTCACATCTCCCTGGATAAGCTGTTCATCAATTAAAAGATCTGTGAATTAGGTGTGACAGGTACAGTATGGGAGTGCTAGGTAATCATTTTTATAAATAGGAATTTACAAACAAGAATTTGATATTATGTGGAAGGTAAAGTGTGACTGCTTCAAAAAGGATGAACTACAGGAATGTTTATACATGTGAATTTTACAGTTCTTTGGCAAATCCAAAAGGCACAAAAGTCCCCCCCCCCCCCATTTAATTTAATTATCATTATTATATTTTTATGGGGGGGATAGATGCAATTACTATATTGTTGTTTTCCTATCACCCTGAAAGCAAAGAAACTATTTTACTAACCAGTGTTCTCTTTCCTTCTTGTTGGGTTTCAACCACAAGTGGCATGCTATCAGTTGTTGCCATGACAACCAGTCCTTCAACTACACATGAATTAGAAGCAAGAGGTCCTTCCAGTGCACAAGTATGAACCTGGTCTAGCTGAATGCTGCAATTATAAATGAAATGACATTGTATGTATATGATGCACACAATAACATTGTTTTTATACTTGCAAATATTCAATTAAGATTAGATATATTTAATGTAAGAAAAAATTCACATTTGTCTCTACAAATATAATAATGCATCTGAAGCAATGTCTACCCTGATCATATGCAATTTATGTGTAATTTGTTGCCTAAAAATTTAAACACTTCCTGTGAAAGTTTTTTTTTTCTTCTTATATTTGTTGAAAAATATTGCCAAACTTGAAATTTTGCACATTTCAAAAAAAATTAGCATATTTCAAAAAACCAAAAAAAATTCAGATAACATCACTGTTTTATAATGCAGTGTCCACTGTTACAGTATTCACTTCATTTTTGTACATATCACACATATTAGAACAACATGCCAGTCATTACCTTCCTGCCTCTGCTCCTTTCATGAACAGAATCTTCATCTGATGATCAACTACTGCTGCTGCCTGCCTCATTCCATCCACAGCACCATGGCTTAAACATTCAGCCAATTGTTCAAGAGTCAGTGTCCACTTTGCACTTTTACTTTCATTTTTGTTTGTTTCACTTTCGTTATTTGAATTTGTGCCTAATTTCATAGTTATTTCTGTACTCTTGGAATCACTGGTGCCACCAGATTCATTTTTCAAGTTTAGACTAACTTTTGGATAAAAGCCATTTCCTGAGTCAATATGAGATTCATTTTTATTAGCCGAACTTGCATTAATTATGCCAATGCTTATTGTGCTTTCACTTTCACAATCTACCTTCTTTTCAGGAACATTTTTGATTTGTTGTGTTGTTGTATTTGATTCAAGCCCAGATAAATGTCTGCTGCTAAAGCCAAGTTTTGATATCTTTGCTGATTGCTGCATTGCTGATTGTAACATCGTCGTGCTGAATTCTGCTGCAGTTTCTGAAGTCTTATAATGCCTGCTACTGTTGAAGACATGTTTTGGTTTAAAGGATAATTTTTCTTTAATTTTAGCATCAAATAAATCCCTTACGTCTGCCTTGTCATGTGTCTGTTTCGTATTTTCACTGCATTCAGTGTCTTCACCTGTTTAGGACCTGATTCAAAAGTTATCCCTGAGTTGATATCACTAAGCTTTCTTTGAGATTGCCTTGTCACAGTGTTTGTTTCACTATTTGACTGTAATGCTAAGCTATCCACAATGGATCTAGAACACACTGTCTCACCCAGAACTGTCTCACCTAACACATCCACACAGGTTTTTGTCTGGTTTGTTGTGCTGTCTGCAATGGGACTGGGGCATATTGTTTCATTCATCTCTCTCTTATCTAACACACTTGTCTTGTTTTTCAAATGGATTTTCTTTTCTTCAAAATGGGTCTTTCCAGTCCTCCCATTCAATAAAGGTTCCGTTTTTGTCTTGTATTGGATTTCATCAAAACAACTGTCAAATTCATCATCACTGTCCGTTAAATGACCTTGACATTCAGTGTCAGCCACATGACCTTCATATGATGAGTAATTAACATCACCAGGAACCTCAACAGGCTTACTCTGACAATGAGAATAAACATTTACATCAGATGAGGCAAAATGGTCAAAGGCATCAAAGTTTGTAGGAACAGGATTCTCAAACACTGAACAGTTCTCCAGTCTATTTCGGCCATTTTCAATATTCTGACCAGGCAGTACCATGGAGGTCAGTAGTCTTGATGACCTGTCCAGTAAGTCCAGGGTCTCCTGGTCAATTGAAGGGGGTGCAGGTACTTGACCATCAGCAAAATACCAGCTGATGTCATTGGGGTCATCTTGGTCCACTGTACCCCTGTCCACTTTGTTGGTCAAATGGCCATCCTCTCTGTCAACTTTGCATGTAAAATGGTCATCAACTATCAGCGTATTTGCTGACTGACCACTTTGGTTTGTTCCTGTGTTATTCTCAGCACTATTACCAGACAATATTCCACAGTTTGTTAAACCATTCACATGCTCACATTTTTCTGGGAGCTCAGCTTTTTCTACCAAGACGTTTTCCTGGGAACAAACAGAAATCCCTTCTCTTTTCACTGCATTACATTCTTTCAGACTACACAAATGTCCATCTTTCTCCCATGCTGCTTTATCTTTGATACTTGCTGAAACACACTGTTTCTGTCCTGCAGGATTATCCACTGTGTTGGCTATCATGGTGTCTATTTCCAGAGGGTGAGAATGACTGACATTGATACACACTGGCTGCAGACTACTGATACAGGCTTCTAGGCCTTCCTGAAATCCTGAGACTATAGCTTGGATGGGAACACCCTGAAATAAGATGTGAGCATAAAACACATGAGTAACTTTGATCAAAGATGAAAGTGCAGGCATATCTTTACTATTATTTAAATTACTGCATGTACTAGGTGCAAGTGGTAAATTGGCATTTATGAATAACTGTCAAGCATTAGCAAAACTTGTGTAACCCCTATTCATAACTAATATGCTTAGGCAATGAATTTAATGTGAAATGGGGTTAAACTATACAGCAATACAGACTTGCATCTTCTGCCCCCCCCCCCCCCCCCTCATGTGTTTAACGCGTAAAAGTTTAAAACAATATAAAAAACATCTCACCTGTTCCAGCAGCTCCTGTGCTGACTCAGCCCATAGTTTTATCATAACTAGCAGGGTCTTACAGCAACAACCATATGTCTTGTGGTGGTTCTGGCAGGCATCATTGATGATGTGATATGCAGGGTGCTAAGACAAAAAAATAATTACAGAAAAGAGTTGTTAATTCATGTCATAAAAATTATAAGAAACAAAAGATATGCATGTGCTTGTGTCCTGCCAAAATAAATGCTTCTAAGATCATGTTCATTATACTGACAGAATATTCTATTACCAGCACCCAAGTGAAAAAGAAGGAAGAAATTTTCCACTTTATTTAACATCAGCCATTCAAAATTTAGTAGTACAAAAGTATCACTTTCTTACTGTAAAATAAACCTGCATTAATTATTAACCTTGCAAAATATACTTGTAACTTACATTTACTTCTAAGTTTTCCAAAATTTCAGCAGCACAGCTAGCAAAAACACTTCTCTCATCCTCAACCATGCACTTTACGCTGTCCAGCATAAAAATATTTAAAAAATTTCAAAATTTTGATATAAGTAAATTACAGTCCATTTTTATGTCAGTGCCTAATTACATTTCTTCTTGCATATGTGCATATGCAGTTTTATAAAAAAAAATGCAGTAACATTTACACAAGCACATACTGGGTATGAATACAAAAGGACGGAAAAGAAAACAACATTCAATGGTTTTACAGGGATTTGATGCTTTATAAAAGGCCTACACATTTTGACCAACAAATGAATTATGTGTACTCACCTGATGCTATTTCCAAGCAAGGATTCAATTTTAGAACCTTTAGAAGGAAAGAAATTTTGCATAATGCATCAGTTTTAAAATACAACATATAATGACACAAAAAATCAATTCTTAGTTTACTGTAAAATTTTTAGTGATTTTATTCATTTATATCACAACTGGTCATGCCAGTGACATTACTTTATTCAAATAGTGTATTTCATTGTATGCAGCTGTACAGTACTGTATGCAGCTGAACCTTCTAGTATTCAAATTGTTGTTGCACTATTCAAACCGATACAAGATATTAGCAGAAACAAAACAAGTTCCAACACACATTTTCTATGCACTTACCAATGTAACATGCCACGCTGAGGGATGACATCTCTCGTCCACCCACCACGCAGCCAGCGCCAGACATTTTTGTTGGTTTGCGACAGCGGCAGTGGCAGTTTAACTTTAACGATGAACAGCATTGAAGTCGATGTGTAAGCTCTCTAGAGACAAAAGGGAAATTATAGACATCAATGTTTAGTGTGTGCAGCTTTTACATCAATCTGTGGTATCCCATACACGCTCCAATAGAAATGCATGGAGAGAGAGAGAGAGAGAGAGAGAGAGAGAGAGAGAGAGAGAGAGAAACTCAGAAAGAGAGAGAGAGCAGCCGGGGGAGAGGGCTGGAGAGAGAGAGGCCGTTGGAGAGAGTGAGAGATAGAGGGACAGAGGGGAGACAGTGGGCAACTTTCAGTAAAATTCTCATTAATAAGTTATTAAAATATATCTTTTATTTCGCCACCTACCTTCTAGATAGATATGTTTCCAGGGCGAAGTCAGACAAGCTTCTTCTGCTCTTTTGTAAATGAAGTCAGACAAGCTCCTTCTGCTCTTTTATAAATGCGCATGCGTTACGACTTACAAGCGTGACGTCATTTGGGAATTCCCCCATCAGGTAATCAGGTCCCACTGTGCTGGGAAACGTCTACGATATAATTCCCTGATTTATCACAGTTTAGATTATAATGTAGTTTCAGACTTTTTATTCAAATGACCTCATAAGAAATATGATTTTAAAGAAAAAGTCTCTACAAGAGACGTAAAAAGTTATCAATGTAAAGTATAAAAGACGAACAACGATCGAGCTTTAGCCCTTTTTTTTTTTGGCAAATGTTATATTTTCCCAAAATCTTAATAATTATTTTCAGACATAACCTATTTAATATTGTTAATAATTCTTTTAATTTTTGGACGATTTCATTGAAAATTGCCAGCTTCCTTGATGAAAAAAAAATGACTTTTTGACAAAGCTCACTTCAAAACTCAAGCCCATTTTTCTTGGTTATATTAGCCTGGGGAATTTCAATGCATTAGAAAGTGAACACAAACAAGAGACAATTCCATCTGTGCATATTTTATTTTTTTAGCATGCACTTGTAGACAGCTATACAAGTTATTATACACCACAGTTAACTCTACTTCAAATACATTTTATTACCTATAATCCAGAAAGTTAAGACTTTTTATATCTAGAACATAAATATAGAACTTGTTCAACTTCTGCCTACTGAAGTTACAGCCCATTATCATCTTACAACATCAGCATTCAAAGCTTAATGCTAATTCAATAAATAACAAATTAAGCGTACTTTGACACCATGACTATTATTAACTGTTATATTGTTGAGTGTGTGAAGGCTAAGCCCCATGTAAGTTGAGGAGTTTGGAATCCATCTTCCTTTAAGGTAAATGTTAAATCCTTGCCAAATAGAATTTTCCTTAAGGAAAAATCAAATTTTTTCCTTCTCATAAATCATTGGTTGATCCAGCAACAGTCAGGATACTTTTAATTGCTAGCATTTTAAGTATAGATTGGAATCCCTTCTTAAGAGTCACAATATTAATTAAACCAAAGTAGAAATTCAACAAATATTTCATTAAATATTGTGCCTCGTGTTGGAAATTATTAAAATGGATTCACTCCTCCCAACAAGTGAAAGCTTTTTAGGACACAGGGAGTCAACTTGTAAAAATAAATAAATAAATACAAATCTATCACAACAACTGTAAGTGTTCACATTTAAAAACCTAATCAGATACAGGTTATGTCTAAATGCACATTCTGATTCATGCATTTATCTGATAATTATAACAGTTGCTGACAACACATATCAGGAGTGAATGAAATCTAGATATTGACTGTTATGTTGTCACTACCAGTCACTGCATGTTATACTGGACAAAAACAAAGAAAAATGAAATCATTGCAGCTGCTGCTGAACTTTTGTATTAATCCATGGTACTGGCATTAAATACAAGGTAAATAGCAATGACAGTGAACGATAATGTCCCAAGGAAAGTGAACACCATCTCTCCATAGCACAGGAAAACTGTTATTTCTTTAAAGCCTTTAGTCTCTGGTCCATACTTTCTATGTTACTTTTGATTACTTTCATGTTCTTCTCAAAGTTACTTTGAAGCTGAAATGAAGAGGGACAAAAATTTTAATAATGATGTGCAATTAGAATAATGTCTCAACCTTTAAACTTGTAAAGTAGCTGAAATTTTAATTTAACCATTTTCAGATCAAATTTCATTAGTTTTTTCCATTGCCTGCAAATAATCAGTGACATATTTAATAATATGTCACTGATTATTTAAAAATAATCACACAGGCATATGAACCTCGGGTTCAAAAATAAATCTAACCATCTTTTTAACCACATTGTGGTTTTATTTGCAATTTGCTATTTATAATTGAACATAATGCTAACAAATAACTGGTTAGAGTAACCATTCAACTAGTGAAGATGAGCTCCACCTACCTGTTTCACCATATCAGAATGAGCTGTCAAGTTTGCCGCCACTTGCTGCTGGGAAGTATCTAAATGAGTTATGGCTGCGCTAAACTGCAGGGCTGGAATAGCAAGCACAAAAATAATTTACTGCGGATGACCACCATTCAAATTCTGCATCAGGTTTCACAAAATATTTCATACCAAAATACAAAATACTTGTCTGTTTCTATTTAGGGTATATCTGTATAACTATAATTATCCACTAAAACATAGTAACTATAGGAACAAATAAAACTTATTTGTGAAAATATATGTGTATTATCTGTGATAATAACGTCATACCGTGTACATTTCTAGCATGAACTTAAGTCAAATTCTGATATTCATCAGTTTGACAAAGACACTGAACTGAAAAAACTGGGTGAATAATGTGCTGACACTGTTAACAAATTATATGTTATAAGTGTTTACATTTCAGGTAGATGTGTGTGTGAGAGAGAGAGAGAGAGAGAGAGAGAGAGAGTGGGGGGAGAGCGAGGTTTTCACCAAACAAATATAAAGATTCATAAGATTTGTGCTCATTTCCTCCTGCCTCTGTTTTACTACAACATCATACCTTGTTGATGTAGTTCCTTCAGACCGGCCACTCTGTCTACTAAGTGTGGCAGTGCTAGTGCTATCTCATCCCATCTCTTCACTATATCATATAGTTCACTGATCTGAAATAACAGATTTTATATGTCTATAATATTTACTATTTGCATCATGGTAACTAAATCAGAGGGGTCAGCTGGGTGATGACTCTTTTTTTTTTCAAATTTTCTACATAGGTACTCTCCAACAAAATGTTAGATATAGTCAGAGAAATATTTGGTTCTGTGAATATCTTGCCAAAATATTCCCCAGGTAGCTTGTAATCCTAGTAACTGATGTTTTGCTGACTAGAGTTGGATGACTAAATAAGTCACAGAAACCGTATTTGCTGAAAAAATTATTCCTCTCCTAAACCCTTTTTTCTATTTTTTTTAACAATTCATAAAAAAATTTCAGCTTACTAAACTTTAAGCAAAAAAGGACGTTTTTTCTACATGTATGAACCATCCAACACACTACCCTTCTGAACTATTTCACACTGTACAACACTGTGCTTTACCTTGGCTAGTTTTTCATCACTGATAGCAGCCTTTTTCTCAGAAACTTGGTTTAACTTAGAAAGGAGTCCATGTAACCGGGCATCAATGGCACTGAGCTGATCTGGATCCATGACATTAGATTTGGCAGTCAGATCTGTAACAGCACCCTGGGAAAAGAGAGGGAAGTTATGTTGATTTCATTTATATATATATATTATTAGCCTCCTCCCCTTAAATCATCAACCATGCAATACATTCACCCAATTCAAATTAAGTTTTAACAAAAATAAATAGACATTTTCACCTTTTCCTTCCTGGTTTTTTAGGGTAAAGGTGGATTTAATGTCATTACGATTTGAACTTTTTCCAAGAAATATGTTCTTTTTTAAGGTGGCTGTGATATATTTATTCATGATCAATTACAAATTGATAATTTGCATAACAAGTGTTTGGGTTAGTAACTCACCATAAGACTCTTGTTGGCAAGTCCAGCAGTAAGAACAGACTGAAAGTGAAAGTAAAGGGAACATGAGGTGGAGTGAAAGTGAAACAATGAACTACTGACAGTTATTTTGTGTAAGAAATTGAAATATATAAACAAAATAAACATTTCTACAAGTGTGCATCATTCCTCTTTTATAAATTTCAAATACTACGCAAATATTGATTGGAGAAAATTATACAGCTTTATTCTTAGTGCATAACACTGCTCAGCTGAATGAGATAAAGTTCTTTTCTGACAGACAACTGAATTAGATAAAGTCCATTTCTCTGGGCATATACAGTAGTGTCAAAGCACAAAATCATAAAATTATAAATGTTTGTTAAATAATTATTTTAGTTTATTTATTATCGTTTTTTATTTACTTATTTTATTATTTTTATTTTATTTAATTATTGTTTGTTGTTGTTGTTAAAATATAGTCTCTTATGCAAAATAAATAAAAGATTTTTATTCATACCAGTTTTTCTGGCTGTTGTCCTATAACAGCTTCCATCCTCTCCAACCTCTGCTCCAGGGCAGCCAGCTGTAAAGTTAAACAGTTCTTGTGGATAAAATTAGGCACTATGATAAGGAAACATTTTGAAACAGGGAATTTTATCAACATTTGAATACGTATTAAATTCAACTGATCTTCTTGTTGATGAAATTAATCACCAAAATCAAGTCAGAAACATTTTCAGACAGGAAATTTTTTCAAAAATCTGAACACTTAATTGAACTGCTTATACATTTAAATAGAATGTACCTTAGTTTTCATGTGCAACGTTTGCAAAGATGAAAATATATTTTATATGATCCTTCATTAAGAAACCTGATAATTAATTCCATCAGAGAGTACCCTTTATTAAGAAACCTGGTAATCAATTTCATCAGAGAGTACTTTGCCAAAGTACATCTTCTATTAACCTCTACACATTCAGAATTATGAATTACCCTAGCACTCTCGCTGAACTTGGCCTGCTCTGCCCTGTAGTACAGTTCATACGTCACTTTATCTCCAGCTGGCTTGCCTTTGGTGGGGCTCTTGGCATCTTGTTTGGAGTGTTTGAATGTTTCCAGGGATTCCAGGAGACGTCTGGAAAGCAGTGACTTGATTTCAAAACTGGCATATGTGTAGACATTTCAGTGTCTGTATATAATATTGTAAAACAGTTCGATCATAAGTGTTAACTCTAGATCTTGTAAAGCTGAAGGGCATGTTTTAAACATTTTCCTGCAGAAAAAAAAGATTGAGATGACGCTCATGTAATGATTAGCCATAAAAGATCAACTTCTTCTTATTTATTTATTTATTTATTTATTTATTTATTTATTTATTTATTATTCCATTAATTTATTTTCTATATTTATTGATTTATTTTTCTTTCGTGAGCTTTGCTCCAGGCCCAGACATTACCTCTGTAAAGCTCCCAGTGGATCAGCCAAGTCGAGGTGGGCCTCCTGTCCTGTGATTTTCTCCACATGCAGATCTGTCAGCTGGTTCTGAAGGTACTCCACCTGCCTGGCCAGCTCTACTGGGGACATCTTATCCACAGCATTCTCATCCTTGATGGTGGCCTGATAAGAAATGTGGAAAGTTATAGAAAAGCATGCCTTGTCTTGTTTTATATTTACTGAGATTAAAAGACGTCCTGTTGAGAAAACATTCAGTAAAGCCCCCTTTACACTGGACGGCGTCCTTTCTGCGTCCAGCAGTGCGGCCCCATTTGAGAGTTTAAAAATTATAATATTTTACGTGCCGACAACTGGCCGATCATTGAGCATTCATTCTGATACAAAATTAATGCTCGTGCCTCCTTATTAAGACCACAGCGATGCCAAATTTCATGGTCGCAGAAAGGACTCAGAAAGGACGCCGTCCAGTGTAAAGGGGGTATAATGAATTAATCTTGTGAATGGGAAAATTCTGAATTTTACAGATATCGTATTTTTTATCACATAATGATAATGAAAACATTTAGGTTGTATAAAATTATAGTGTACTGCACAACAGTACCAATACGCCATGTTTTGTATGTCAATGTTGCCTTGTTTATTAATATGACATTCCTAGCACATAGAATTTGACTGTATTACGAAAAAGTTCAACCCGATCTCATACCGATTCTTGCATGTTCCCCAAGTCTCGTATGACATCATGCAGTGCAGACAACCTGTTTTAGACTATCTCTGATAATAACCAAATGAGTCATACCTTAAGTTTACTCAACTCATCAGCCAAATCTTTCACTTCTGCCTGGAGTCTTTGATATTTCTGCAGAGGGGTCTCCTGCTCACCCTCACCCAGCTGAAATAATAATAATAATAATAATACATTTTCAACTAAAATTTGGGATATTACAATAATCATTTGAATGACAATATCTATGTTTCTCTCTTTGACGTACAATAAGACCATGCAGCATCATAAGTGTAAAAACTCACCAGTTCATATTCCGTGGCATCATACCCAGTGTGCCTGTGAACCTTCACACGGTCAGAAAAATCTGAAGCCAAACCAAAGCAAAAATCATTCTCACTTCATATTTTGATGTCAGACCAGCAAAAGATTTTTTTAATTACTGATCAAAAAAGTCAAAGCTGAGGTATGTGTTTTTTAATAGATTCCATCTTCAGATTATCTTATCTTGATTCTCACTTTTTTTTATCATCATTTTTTAGATGTCTTTAAACTATAATGTATAGAATCACCTGCTCTCCCTGCATCAATGCCCTTCCCTTTAAATCTTTTATAAGCTTCTTTGGGGTCCAATGCCAGCCTCTCAACACTCTCACTGCCCAACTCCTCCTGTAAATAGGAAATTATGATAGTGCTAGCAGTGACCATGAATGCATCAGATGTGGCACTGATTGTGTTGAGTGACTGGTTGTGTTAAGTGTGGCCTTAATTACATCATGTGTGAAACCACAAAATGCAGCACACAAAGAATCAATCGGGCACTACGTTTCTGCACATATGCCAAGTGATATCCATATGATCTCATTTTGTGTGCCAACTCCTGGATCTAAGCACATGTGCTGAGAACAAAATGGTGTTTATATAGCAGTTGCATATATATATGTATAAAAGCAGATTATAACAGAATATGAAAGGTCTTTTGTCATTAAAACAGTCCTTGAAGCACTTTCATGTAAAATCAGCCTAACGTAAGTAAATGAAATGCACTTGATAATGATCCAGTTGCAGTCCAAGTGAACACAAAATTCAAATATATTTCAGTACTTACAGATATATATTCCAAACATATATATTATTATAAGTGCCAGAAAAAAGTTTATAGGCCTGAAATATGGAACTTGGTACATTGTATGACTGAAAAATTAACTCACTGGTTCCTCTGTCTGAGGCTGATCACTTTCTGGAAGGTCACTAGTCTCGTACACATCTGGCTGGTCTGTCGCCTAGAAAATGAAATTCCTTTTAGTCTATATCCAATCTTGCTTTGGCTATCTGATATACAGTAAGATACTAGTACTTGGAGATACAAGTTGATTAAGCTCAGTCTAAATTTCCATGAGATTGAAGTTGCCAACTTGAATATTTGGTGTCACCAATACATCTGTACCTGTAACCAGTCCCAATACCTCTATACAGTTTTATACATAATACGTATTGGCTTTTTTCGATGGGGGGGGGGGGGGGGGGGGGGGG